GGGGGGGGGGGGGTGATCAAGCGCCCCCCATCCCTGCGCCTTACCAGGCCCTTGAGGTGTGGTAGGAATTTTAAGGGGGAACCCCAGCCCCAAAATATGGGTAGAAAAAACGGGCGGTCCCCCCTAACATTCCTACCAGACCCCTGATTCAAGCACTGGCCCGGGAGGGAAGGAAAGGGGGGTGACATGATCGAGCGCCCTCCCCCCCTCCTTGCGCCTTTCCAGGCCACGTGACCTCGGCATTGGGAGGTTGTCCCCATGCTGATGGGGACAAGGGCGTCTTCCCCACAACCCTGACTCGAGGGTTGTGGGGGTCTGCGGGCAAGGGGGCTTATTTGGATCGGGGTACCCCTTTAATTAAGGGGGCACCCAGATGCCGCCCCCCTTGTGAATGAGTAAGGGATACTTGTACCCCTACCCATTCACTAAAGGGTTAAATCAAATAGTTATTAAAAAGTCCAGACTTTTGATAAAATCCTTTAATTGAAAAAAAAGAGACAATTTTTGACTATTCCTTTAATTTAAAAAAATAATTAAAAAAATGGCTCCATCGATGTAATCCAGAGTTAATCACGATGCACGAAACCTGCCGACACGCCGCAATAAAAAAATTCCCGCCGCACTAGAGCTGCAGCTAACGATTATTTTCAAAATCGATTAGTTAGCCGATTATTGAGTTCGATTAATCGGTTAATCGGATAAACAATAAAATACATTTTAAAAAATGGCTCCAGTGATGGACTTCTAGTTTGTATTGAGATTGTAGTCCATCACAGGAGCCAGCTTTGGAGCGGTGGAAGTTAAAAAAAAGTGTGGTGTGCAATATAGTGAAATGGAAAGTTTAAAATTATACAGCAATCAATGCAGAATATCACCAGCTATAGAGGAGCACAACAAATCCCAGCAATAGTACATTATAGCTGGCGGTATTCTGCATTGTGCTGTATAATGTGCTGTTGCTGAGTATTGTAGTCCTCTATAGCTAGTGATATTCGGCATTGCACCACTGTATAATGTATTATTGCTGGGATTTGTTGTGCTCCTCTATAGCTGGTGGAATTCCGTGTGGTGCTGTATAATGTATTATTGCTGGGATTTGTAGTCCTCTATACAGCGCAGTGCAGAATATCACCAACTATAGAGGAGTACAACAAATCCCAGCAATACATTATAGAGTACCATGTGTGGGAAAGTGCAGGCTTACCTGAGCAGTCTTCCAGCAACTTACTTCTGAGATCGGGCCTGTATCGGCGGCTGTCATCCCCCCACCCCTCCTCCTCTTACATCGCCCCGCGTCACTGTGCCGATCGTGGATGTGGGCGGGTGGTGAGTGTGAGGCGGGAAGGAGGTGCGGCGTGTAGAGCGTGGATGCGGGCGGGCGGGTCTGGCAGCAATGAGCGTGAGTTGGGGAGGAGGTGCACAGCGTGTGTGGAGCCGTGAACAGGGCCAACTGATCGGAAGCCGATTAATCGATTATTGAAAAAGTTGACAACTTTTTCAATAATCGATTATAATCGATTATGTCGATTAGTTGTTGCAGCCCTACGCCGCACGATGACCGTCCGAACCCGACGAAAACTCACCGCAAATTTACATTCCTTCTCGAATGTAAACATTCTCAGCTGTCAAATACTACATAGCATTCGGGAACTCCGTGAGTTTCGGAATGCCATTCGGGTCTGTGAGCCGAGGTGTGATAATGCTTTTCCTATGACGCCTCGGCTCACAGACCCAAATGGCATTCGGAAACTCACGAATAGCATTCGGAGTTCCCGAATGCTATGTAGTATTTGACAGCTCGCTCCGCCCATCTGTTTACATTCGAGCAGGAATGTAATTTTGCGGCGAGTTACATAGTTAGTCAGGTTGAAAAAAGACACAAGTCCATCAAGTTCAACCTAACTCGATGCACCCGTTTACGTCGGGTTCGGGCGGTCTTCGCGTGGTGGGACTTTTTTTTATTTCGGCGGGTTGGCGGGCGTCGTGCATCATGACTGACGTTGGATTACATTGATGGAGCATTTTTTTTTTAATTAAAGGAATAGTCAAAAATTGTCTCTGTTTTTTTTCAATTAAAGGATTTTATCAAAGTCTGGACTTTTTAATAACTATTTTATTTAACCCTTTAGTGAATGGGTAGGGGTACACGTACCCCTTACTCATTCACAAGGGGGGGCGGCATCTGGGTGCCCCCTTGATTAAAGGGATACCCTGGTGCAAATAAGCCCCCTTGCCCGCAGACCCCCACAACCACCGGGTCAGGGTTGTGGGGAAGAGGCCCTTGTCCCCATCGGCATGGGGGCACCCTCCCAATGCCGAGGTCACGTGGCCTGGAAAGGCGCAAGGAGGGGGGGAGGGCGCTCGATCATGTCACCCCCCTTTCCTTCCCTCCCGGGCCAGTGCTTGAATCAGGGGTCTGGTAGGAATGTTAGGGGGGACCGCCCGTTTTTCTCCCCATATTTTGGGGCTGGGGTTCCCCCTTAAAATTCCTACCACACCTCAAGGGCCTGGTATGGATTTTGGGAAACCCCACACACATTTTTTTGTTTCAACTTGAGGGGTGTCCCTCCTAACATTCCTAAAGGGTCTGGTATGAATTGGGGGGGGGACCTCACGCTTTTTTTTCCCCCTCTTCTGCAGACTGAAAAACAAAAATTCTAAATTTTGCCTAAAAAACTAAACTTCGTCCAGACTACCGCTAACTAATTTGATCCGAATCCTGAAACGAATTGAATTTTGGACCCGAATCCCGAAAAACTAAATAACGCAAATTCGGAATCAAAACTAAACAAAACAATTTTTTTGCCGGTGCACATGTCTACACTACTGTCCTTTTAATAATAAATATATAAATAAATGATGGTTGTGATAGGGGTTGTCTTTTTAAAAAAAATAAAAAGTGTACCTTCCAATCTCTTACATGGATCTGTGCACTTTTCTTTGCCTTCCATAAGAGGAATGAGCAGTATTTGTCACCCATTCCTTCTTCTGCTCTTTAAGAAGTAGTGCGCACTGGGATTGGAGTTGTTTAATAGATTTGCTTTGATAAGCTGTCAATGTTTGGTTGGTGTTCTGTGAACCAATTGACTACTTTGCTTAAATGTATTCCTGGCAGCTGTTCAGCTAGAAGAGTCTTCCTGATCATCAAATCCATCTTCCCAATACTGGACTGGCTGCCCAAATATCGATGGAGGGAATGGATCATCAGCGATATCATCGCTGGGGTCAGCGTTGGACTGGTATCTACCTTGCAAGGTAAGTTATGCAGCAATCACAACTATTGGTCTATAAAGACTTGCTTCACATTGTTGCTTAAGTACGCCTGAATATTTATAAACTTTATTAACATTCTGGGCTAAGATAGCATTAGCACAACCACAGACTGAGATAAGGTCTGTGCAAAGAGACAAAGCATGCGGTTAATACATTTTTGGAGAATTGTATAGAACAAGTGGTGCATGGCCACTGAAAGAGTCAGGACATACATTACATATATTACCTTTGAACTAGAGAAAAGGCAGGGATGCACCAAAACTGTTGTTCATTTTGTACTTACCTGTCTACATTGGGTAAACACTGCTTTTCAGATTTAGCATTACATTGTGATGCAGCATAACATAGGATTTCCATAGCACTATGGGTTTTCCACATAGGAGAACAGCTGAAGTTGTCTGCTTTCAGACACCCTGTCTCTGATTGAAAGTTCATATATCAAAAGGGAAAAGGAGAAAATGGTGAGTTACTGCTCTGACTCATACAGTATACTTGTATGTTTAATTTTCAGCTACCAAGCTATGCAAAAAGGGCTTTAATCAACAAAGCAGATAAGGAGAGCGTTGAAGCATGTTAAATGGAGTCATGAGCTTCACATGCTGGTGGGATATGAGAATACATATGCATCTACTTGAATCTTATTAGACCAGAAGTCTTCAGACTACAATAAGTATCAAGCCAGTGATTCCTGATTGCTGCTCTATCTAGAATGAGAGCAGTTGCGTGCCCTCCACCCCCCTTGTTTGTGGCAGATTTGCCTTTACTCCTCTCATTGAGTTCTGTTTGGCAGAACTTCCTAGGAACATCCATACAAGATGATGTTGCTTCCTGAAGTAGCAGAATTCTAGGGACAGTCCAGGGTTCAGGTGGGCAAGTTTGTTACAAGAAAAGGACATGTCTCAAGGTTTGTGATAAAGTAGGTGGTACAGATTGGGGCAAGTGCTTGTGCTTGAAAGTTGTTTTTTGTTTTTTTGGTGTAGAGATGCTATTGCCGCTGGATTTCCCAATTTGCTCCCTTTAAGCCCAATTAAAACTTTCTTTTATATTACTGTAATGCAATCATGTTGCATAACAGTAATATATTTGGAATTTTAAAAATTGTTTATGTACTATTGTGCTGCAACTGGGTTAAAATGTCCTATTCTGGCAGCACGCTGGAGATTCGGACCACTGCTTAACACAGTGGGCAGTGGTCCAGATCTCCAGTGGTCCAACATTTTCCTCTACATGTGGGACAGCACTCATGCTTCCTGAGCAACTTTGTTCATTGTATCACTGTGCAGGCGTGTTGGACCTCTAGAGACCTAGGACCACTGTGCTCTGTAATAATTCAGGCTAGTCATAAATTATTTAGGTTGCGTTGACATGGCAACAGGGGCGGATCTAGACTTTATGAGGCCTTAGGCGAAACTCAAATGTGAGGCCCCCACTTACACCCATAATGAAAAAAAAATGTAAACAATAATTACAATTGAACTGTATACATTGCATATTTTAAGCCAATAGACGTCACCAATAACCACCAGAAAGTGTCAAGGTCGGCAATGCCAACCCCCAGCAACAACCACCAGCAAGTGTCAGGGCCTCCAATGCAAACCCCAAGCAATAACCACCAGCAAGTTTCAGGGCCTCCAATGAAAACCCCAAGTAATAACTGCCAGTAGAGTTGCCACCTTTTCTTCAAGCGAAACCCAAACCTCTAGCGAGAGCCACCCCTAGCCATTCATATGTAAATATCACAGTTGAGACTAATTTCAGTGGGGGGCCAGTAGCCCCTATCTTAATTTTGGTTGCCCCTGTCTGCCTGATATCTTGTGTCCGGGTTTCTGCTGCAATGAAACCTGGACAGGGCATTCAAAACCTGGACTGTCCGGGTGAATCCTGGACAGGTGGCAACCCTAACTGCCAGCAAGCGTCAGGGCCTCCAATCCAAACCCCAAGCAATAACTGCCAGCAAGCGTCAGGGCCTCAAATCCAAACCCCAAGCAATAACTATCAGCAAGTATCAGGGCCTCCAATCCAAACCCCAAGAAATAACTGCCGGCAAGTGTCAGGGCCTCCAATCCAAACCCCAAGCAATAACTGCCAGCAAGTGTCAGGGCCTCCAATGCCCTAATAATAGAATTCTCCATTATTATATAATGTATTGCTGTAAAGAGGTAAAATAGTCCCCTCTCTCCTGCTGTCAGATCAGCAGGGGGCCCGGGGACTTCATCAGAAATTGATGCCGGAGTAGGCACTTGGGACTGGGACCTGCTGTTTTCTTGTAATATAGCCCCCATATGTCCCTGGGCCCCCCTGCTGCCTGGCGGTAAAGGAGAGCAGGCTCTAGAGGCCGCAAGGCCCCCATTACTGCGAGGCCCTAGGTGACTGCCTAAAATGGCCTAATGGAAGAGCCGCCTCTGCTTGGCAATGTTCTTGTTGAGTTCCAGACACTTGATGACCAGTGATATCTAGTTTCAAAACTAGTTTTAACACCTGACCAACATGTTTCAATAAGGCAATAAACAATCAACACAATCAGCTCAATCCAAGCTTCCTGGAGGTCAGAAACGTTTCATATTTTATTATTTGTGTTATCATAATAAAATGTCTCGCAATTGTCTTATCTAGATTATACAGCCCATTATACAACCCATTTAAGCTCCACAAGCGTCCAAGCATGAGAGTTAAAGCTTTCCATCCTACTGTTGCAGGTAAAAGGTTTCTTGTGTGTGTCAACGTATGATAGTTGCATAATGGTGATTATATAGAAATCAGAAGAACTTTCTAGTGGCGGCAAAAAAAAAGAACTCTCATTTTGGATAGAGTTAGGAAGGGTAATACCACTGTCAGGTTATTACTGTCTCTGGGTCCTTGTTGGGGAGATCTAACTTAACCTTTGTCTCCATTGTCACTGGGAGAAAAAAGTGAGTATCCAAAATTAGTAGAAAATCTGTCTTCCAATAGGTACATCGGTTAGTGTAACAACTGTCAGATATGGCATTTCCCTTCATTTGGGGGGGATTGTTGTGTCCTATTCTGTTCCTGTGGATAGAAAATACATGTAAAGCTTCTTGATGGAAATACAGACAGCAATTAAAGCCTTACAGTGGTACCACCCTTCCCTACTTTATCCAAAAAAGGGACTTGATTTACACTTTAAGGAGAAGTATCTCTAGAGTTGTCCAGTGGAATCAGTGATCATAAAGACATAAGTGGGTAGCAGAATGACTCCTCACAATTTTATAGCTAACCTGGATAAGGTAGTCTGTGGTATCTGTAATTGACATTAGCAGCTAAAATACGCTCTATAGCCAAATGTTAAAGGACACCTGACCGTCACACCCATATTAGCTTGCCAGATGTCTGGTTCCAAAACCATGGCCATTAATATGGCGTTAACTGTCTTGAGACTATTACAGCCTCCATTATTCACAAGATAGTGGGGCTTGTCTGTGGGAATTTGTGCTGATTCAGCCAAAAGAGCATTTGTGTGGCCAGATACTGATGTTGGATTAGAAGAGTTAGCTCACTATCAGTATTCCAATTTATCATTCAATGTTTCTCTTACCTCCGGCATCTTTCCCTCTTCCTTCAAACACGCCCTCATCACACCCATACTAAAAAAAACAGAGTCTTTCGACCCCGAAGCTTTATCTACCTATTGTCCCATCTCTCTTCTTCCCTTTGCCTCGAAACTCCTTGAAAGACTGGTATACACCCGACTCACAGACTACCTGAACTCCTACTCCCTACTTGACCCTCTACAATCTGTTTTTTGTCCCAACACTCCACAGAGACTGGCTGCTATTTTGGTAGTTCAGTTACACAGACTGCTGCTGTTGCCTTTGCATCCTTAGTTTGACTGCCAGTGCCTCCAGAGCTGATAGTTTTTCTTTTACTATTGCAGGAATAGATTTTGGAATGAGTGGCCCGTGCCATTTCATCTAAAATCGTTTTAATCTAAAAAAAAGTCTCTGCAAGCTCCTCTCACCACACCTCCCCAGATATGCCTAAACTTTTGGGCCCATATTCTCTTCTCAGCATTCCCAACTGCACATGCTTCCTCTTTCTCTGAGACAGTGCACCAGCAGGCCATGGGCTCCTCACCATTCCATGTGTGCCTCTTCCCTTGGACTGCATGTTACCCATCTCTCACTCTCTATAGGTGGACCACCTGACCACAGCTGCTCCTTTTATGGTCCTGACCATCTCTTTATTATCAACATCTCTGTATCCAGTGTTGACTCCCTTCCCCTACTGAAGTATTTATACAGTGTATTACCTTCAGACCAGGCGTTCTATTAATAAAAACCCTTGTCACTGGGAAAGAAAGCAATGGCAAATCCAAAATGTTATATTTGTCACAAGAACAATCTTCTAATGGAGACACCTGTTAGGTGACAACTGTCTTAGATGGAAATTTCCCTCACTTTGTAGAGATTTCCTCTCATGTTTTTGCATCTCCAGGACAGAAAGTGAAGAGAAATATCCACAATGTCACACTGACAGCCAAAAAAACAAAACAAAATCAGAGGGGTTAACTTCAGAGGGGTACAAAATCAGAGGGGTATATTCAAAATGTTAAAGCATATTTTGGCTATACATAACATTTTTACATTGTTTTTATGTGGGTTTTGATACAATTCAATGTCCCTTCCTCACCTTGAGGGTAAGTCTTCCAATAGAAAAAAAGACTGCAATACAAAGAACCTATGCTTTCCCAACCAGTAAAAATGTTTTGCCTGAAGTTGGGCTTGTAACTTTCGCATTACTACAGGTGAAACTCGAATAATTAGAATATCATGCAAAGTTCATTTATTTCACTAATGCAACTTAAAAGGTGAAACTAATATATGAGATAGACTCATTACATGCAAAGCAAGATAATTCAAGCCGTGATTTGTCATAATTGTGATGATTATGGCTTACAGCTCATGAAAACCCCAAGAACCCCAAATCCAGAACCTCAAAAAAGTAGATTATTACATGCAATCAAT